CAGATAACTGTGATTCCTTAATCATCTTTCTGAGTCTTTGCTGAACTCATTCCAGCACATCTATGTTATGTATTGAGGCAACCAGAACTGGATCTAGATCTCCAATGCTGAGGACAGGGGTAGGATCACCTCCCTCAATCCTTCCTAATAGAGCCCAGGATGCTATTGTCCTTCTTTGCCATAAAGACAATATTGCTGGCTCACAGTCAGCTCATTGCCCACCAGGAACCCTTTTTCTGTAAAGCAACTCTGTAGTCAGCCAATTGGCTCCCAGCTCATAGTGGTGCTCTGGAGTTATTCCTTCCCATTCCATTGCCCTTTGAAATTTCTGAGGTTTGATGTATGGATTTGACCCATATCTCCATACGCTAAGGTCCCTTTGAGTTGGAACCACAGCCATCTGCTCTTTTAACTTTTTCTCCCAGTGTTGCATCACAAGCAAACTTGCTGAGGGTGTCCTCATACCCATCATCCAAGTGATCTTAATGAAGATGTCAAACACAGCTGGCCCCAGTACTAACTCCTGGGGTGCACCAATAGTGAATGGTCTCCAGATGGGCTTCATGCTGCTGATCACAACCATTTGAGCTCAGTAGTTCAGCTAACTTTCGAGCCACCTCACTATTCATTTATGCCATCTATATTTCATCAGTTCATCTATGAGGATGTTACAGCAGACAGCGCTGAAAGCCTTGTTAAAAATGGCATAAACAACATCCTCTGCTATCCTCTCATGCACCAAGGCAGTTATCTCATCGTGGAAGGCTATCATGATGGTCAGGTCTGATTTTAGCATATCAAGTTTTCCAGAGAGTGAGGTTTTGAGAAATCAGAGAAAGGGAGCCACACCTCATCTCTCTCTGGCCTTGGTTTTCATAATAGTTTGGGGGAAATTTGTGTTTGAGCTTTTGTTGTAACTAAGAATGCCTGTCTCCCTTCTGGGGACTTATGTATGTAAGGCAGAATTTACTGTAAAAGCTTAGTTACATGTGCTAGAATTCTAGACTCTGCTTTGGCATGAACTAAGAAAAAGAATAATCATTTAAAAATAAACCTAGCTATTGTATTTAACCTTGGCCCATGCAGCCAGTGATATTTTGTGAGACGTTCCAGCTATCCACAGATTCTTTTCACCAAAGCTTCCCTTCAGGAAACAAAATAAATTAATGATACAAACAGGAAGCAGCTGTCTTTTCCTAAATAATAATTAAAATGGGGTCCCCTTAGAGACGGGGGGGGGGGGGGGGGGGGCAGGGCAGGGAAGGGAATAAAGAGGAGGGAAAAGACCTGAAAAACTGTCAGTTTAACTTTGACCAGCCTTCAGAGGATAGACTTAGAATAGTGACACAAGCTGTGAGGCCAGGAGGACTTATTTTCTTATGAGCCATTTTTGGATTTAAAAAAAAAGAAAAGGAAAGGTCTGTGAGATGGGCAGATGAGCGAGACAGAGGAATGTTGCTCTCTCAAGGCACACAAGCACTCCTCCTTCAGTAGTATTCATATGGAAAGAAACATTAATCATCATAATCATTGATGCTGTTCTTCAGTGGCTTTCATCTGCTATCAGCAATCACTAGGAAATTCCAGGGTGTTCCTGTCACAGTTCCTTGAAATTCCTCTTTAAGAAGGAAAGAGGACAAGAGGGCTGGAAGCTCAGCTCCTTCCAGTAGCACCAGGGAGATGGTCCTGCTGTGCCCCACACTATACTGGAAGTGCAGGGACCCTAGAAGTACAGGAACCCTAGAAGTGCAGGGACTTCTTCCCAAAGGTCTTAGCACCGCAGCCTGTGGGTGACCACAGAAATGTCTTGGACTCCAGCAAAGAAACCGGAGGAGATAACCAAGGCAGCCAAAGCCACACACAGCACAAGTGCTGGGACTTTTTATCTTCTGAGATAACTGGCCGAAGCCGTGAGTTGATACAGTGTGATGGTGTATTTCATAGCAGCATGAATTCACGTTTTACTGCAAACCACAATTTTGAGTTTACCATCTCCGAGGAGAAAGTGTCATGACATAAATGTATGACATGGCCCTGAGAAGATTCCAGATGCTTCTTCAGTGAATGCCTTGCCATTTGCGTGCATAGCCCTTACCTATGGCGCTAGGCGATTGTTGCTGCTGATCATAACATGTGCAGCTTATTGGAAGCTTTTTATGACTGCAGTTTCCAGTCATAAAAGACCATAACCAACAACAAAAGGTACTGGTAAGGCACTGGAACTTCCCAGAGAGGTGGTAAATGCCCCATCCCTGGAGACATCCAAGGTCAGGCAGCATGGGGATCTAAGCACCTGATCTAGTGAATGTGTTCCCTGCAATTCCCGTTGCAGAGGAATTGGACCAGATGGCCTTTAAGGGTCCCTTCCAGTTCAAAATGGTCCTGTGATTCTATGATAAACCTATGCGATGAGGCCTGATGAATTAGCTAGTGCCACCTCCCAGATACAGAGCTGGCGAGATAAACAAGCTTTGTGTTAAATTTGTAGGATTTCAAGATTCTGCTTAGCAAGAAAATATCCTTCTGTCAGCTGCCAAACATACCACTGAGCTACTAAATGTGGTAGGATTTGCAGGTGAAGAAGGAGATGGTAGAAAAATTGGTGACAAGCCTTGAAGTCATCAGAATGTCACAAATATTGATTTCTGTTTCCTTCAAGATGTGGAAACTCCATGAATCAAAGTTCTACACCAACTCTGACACAATTTTCTAGAACTGATGGTTTTTAAGATAGGAAGACAATAAGACATCCGGATCTGAGAAAGATTTTGACACAGCCCCTTTTCTCTGTCCTCAGTGTCCCTATTACCTTTCTTCCCCGTTTTTTTCTCTTTATGTCCTGTTCTAAAATCTCGTGTTGACATCCTCTGAATTAAATGAGCAGCAATACATTTTCATTTTCAGCTGGGCACAGCAGTCTCCTGCCAGCCCTATATCTGTAGCACTAAAGAGGCAGTGCTAATCTAGTGGTAAAAATGCAAAGGCTTCTTATAACAACACAGGGCTTGGAAGTTTCAGAAAGTTCAGGCAGGGCTGTCTCAAACACTTAGCAACCTTCACCAGGTCACAGACTTTTTCCACAGAAAGTTTTATCTTAAGTTCCTCTTAGATAAGGATGCTGTCTTGACAGTCACCATGGAAATTCCTGTCTGTGTCCTCTGTGTGAGAGGGAAACGTGTTATGGGTCTCTGATGGAAAAGGAAGCATTGCCATACGAGGAATTTGCAATGTGCGTGCATTTCCACTGGAAGCACTGTTCTCTCCTTGGCTCTGTTTGTTGTCACCCATGATCTCTGCTATAATATCCAGCACTAAATAAGATGATGCAGTTTACCTCTTTTCTGCCATGAGGCGCACTGAAATAATAATAGCAGGGTGTTCTCCTTCCCATGGTCAGAAGACGTTCAGTAGAACTAGTGAATTCTGGACAAGCACAGCTCTTAAAACAGAAAACTTCAAGAGCAACAAAAGGAGTTAGTACTTCTCTAGTGCCACAGAAGCACCTCCATGGGGTCCTAAGAACAAAAGCAGATGGCAATGTGGATATCACCTTTGGTTTGGCATGCGCTTGCTGCATTATATGGAGCAAAACCAGCAGGGTTGCTTGTAGTGTTAAACATCAGTGAAGCTGATGCGCTTTACTTTGCAGGGTCTGGCCTTGCTGAAATGCAAAATCATTGGATATCCTCCACTTAGCATGCCTTATCTTCCCAAATGAAGTTGTTACAGTAATAAAATTTGGAGAAAATCAGTTTAAATTGACATTTAAACAGCAAAGCACAAAAGAAGGGGGAAAGAAAGGAGACGTATGTCTTTTGAGGCTTCTTGGCTCCCGACAGTATATGTGCCCTCGTTTTTAGTTCAAACTAAATTAATCTATTAAGGTGCAGGAAACCTAATTTCATATCTGACTCTTCTTGGGCAGACACTAGAATACCAAAAAAGGCAGCTAGGTCTTTATCACAATGCACAATTCAAGGGAAGTAAGAGGTATTATTCATGAGGGTGTGACGTGATGGCCATGCTGATTCACTCTTGCACTCCAAAGCCCTCCCAGTATTTCCTAAGCCGTGTAGCACTTGGAGTCACATTTACAAGGGTCCTTATTTGGTGAAGAGGGATACATGTTTAGGCCAACCCTTTTCCCTCCCTGCCACAAGTTATTGTTTTAGAAATGGTTCACAGGGGTGTTTTGGTTTTTGTGTGTGTGTGTGTGTGTGTCTGGTTGGTTTTGTGTGTGTGTGTGTTGTTTTTTCTTTTTCTTTTCTTTTTTTTTTTTTAAGATTAAGCTCCCTGTGGCTAAGAATAGCTTCTGTGATTATGTGAGCAGCAGCAAAATGTAAAAAGAGTGTGAATAATGTGAATGTCACTGGAGGCAAAAATCCCACTCCACCCGTCGCGACACAGTCCACTTTGATATGTCTCCGGGTGGCGCTTGGCTAATTTTGTATCTTCCTCAGTGGGATCTCCAGTTGATGTGACAAAAGGGATAGCAAAGTGAGAGCAATCATTTTGCATCAAGTAATGCCTCTGGTACTGTAAACATGCTGATAATCAGAGACTGCCAACCCCAGAGGGCTATGAGCATTGGCCAAGCTGGATGTTTTGTTCCATAACAGATGGCTTGTTATGAAGTACCCCAAGTTTTCAACTGATGGATTCTCATAAGGTAGCTCCTGGTGTAGCCATGCCTGCTTTGCTCTCTGACTGCTTGGAGAAAGCTACAAATAATGTGGGTTTTTTTCCCAAATTATCTCTCAGGGGGCCCTAGCATCCTGATAGGTCCTGATTCTCACCAGTTTCTCAGAACCAGAGTAGGAAACCCAGGACAGGAGGCCTCAAAGGACCAGCTGGAAGGATATGAAGAGAAGGCTAACAAGGCCACTCAGCTGTAATTTGTAGACTCATCATTAAGTGCCATTTTCCAGGGAAGAGAGAGCTGAGAATGGCTCAAACTGTTGAAACTACAAATAAACCTTTTAAAACAGATTCCAGGTGGAATGAACAAAGTCCCGTGTGCTTGAGTTTGCTGGGAAGCTGTAGTGGAAATGCTAAGTCATAGCGTGAACCAGTGATTGAGCACCTGGTGGGAAGGCAGTACCAAATCAGGGGAACTCATGTGTATGCAATACACCTGAGTGACTGGAAGGAGTGGAGCCAGGATCAGCCCCTTCCCAGACTTCGCTTAAGGGTTGGCAGTGCCTCCTTGAAGGGTTCCAAAGGTAAGCAGCTTCATTTCTTTGTTTATAAGCCTATAGTTGTTGTGTTAGACCAAGTCCTCACTCGCTGCAGCCTAGGACTTTGCTGCCACTGCTGTACTTTCTATTGCATTACAGAAGCTGAAGCAGTTCATCTGAGATGTGCTGTATTAGCTGCTTCAGTATTTTCTTGCCCAGGTGCCCGTAAGTATTCAGAAACTAAATGGGCAAACTGGTGACCAGAGTAGAATTATAATTTAATGCTGCCATCTGGGTTTGCAACAGTTTCAGCATGGTCTGCTGGAGTGGGAACAAGTAGGACAAGAATGCAAGAGAAGTAGCGATGTACAGAACCAATATTATTGCCAAACACTTGATGATATCAAGTGAGTAAAGTAATGGACTACTTGGGAATTATGTGCATAGATCTCTCTGAAAGTGATGCCTCCAGTTTATTTCCATGGGAACTACCACAGATACAAAGAGCACAGTAACAGTGTTTGATAGAGCAAATTCTCAGCGCTACAGCACACTATTTTTCAGCATAGTCACCACCATTAGCTATGCATTTTTGCCTGTGATGAACAATAATCTGCGTGCTTGTAAAAATCTACACCACTGGAGGTGTCCCACTGTTTTATAGCTGCTATGATGGCATTGTTGATAGGAAAGTGTTGCCCACACAATCCATCATTCATCAGCCCAAACAGATGAAAGACAGAAGGTGCCAAATCTGGGCTGTACAGTGGGTGTGGTAGGACAGTCCAGCCAAGATTGACATTGTGTTCCATGGCCTTCAAACTGGTACAAACCTTGGCATTATCTAACCTAACATCAAGCCCCCAACAGAGCTCACAAGTCAAAGCCTAGGGAGGAGTGAGAACAACAGCAAATGTGTACAGTACTTCCCCTCACTGCTTCCCCAGCCTCCAACTATTTTCAGCTCAGGAACTTCCTGAGCCAGATATGGTTTCTGTGTTTTTAGTAACTCTCAGTATGTTTCTTTGCAATGCACTCTTCTTGAATCTGTATAAGTGTCTCATATCCACCACATCCCTTGGTAAGAGACCCATAGCTCTTCTACCTGTTGTACTAAGGGCTATCTCCCTTTGTTGGATTTTTAGCTTGAGTCCTTCTAGCTTTAATAATGCTGCCCATTTTTGCACAGGAAGAATCAGCACAACCTGTTTGATCCTGCTCCATACCTCACAAGCCCAGAGGCCTCTCTCATGTACCTCCCAGTCATTTCTTCTGTACCTTGAAGATATCTGTTCTACTTGGTAAGAAACTGAGCTGCAGGGCAGATCTTGTGAAGGACTTGTGCTATTTTTGTCTATGGCCTTACCCTCAGACTCCAGTGTGTCTTGTTGCATCCTGTAGTCATGAATGAAAGCCTCCAGCTTGCTTAGAGCCAGAGTTCCAGCTCTAACGCTGCAAGCATCACGCTTTGACAGAGTTATGGGGATATAAATAATAGCCTGCACTCCAGTCTCAGGGAGGAACTGTTCCTAACCATGCCGTACTCGCACAAGCCATTCTTGGAAGCCTCTTCACTTTCCCATCTTCCCTTGCACCTCCCTAACTTTGCTACTAAACCATACTCCCAGCTTCATTTCCAGGGTCTTGTGAGGTTATTCATGTCTACAACCTGCTTTTTGTAGGCAAACTTGTGAAGGCTTTGGCTGCAGCCAGCACCTTATCCCTTTTTTCTCATTGTGTTTCATGTGAGGGGCTTACATGTGCCTCATGTAAGCCCCTTGCAAGTGCCCAGAGAAACCAGGAACTTGCCACCTGCCTAAGTCTTGCTGAGTACCCATTGGAAGCATGGCGTGCTCACTTCTGGCTGTGTGTCACTGTGACCTCCTAGCACGCCATCCAAAATAACCTTGTGCATGCAACCAGGAATAGAAAGAAAGGAAGGATGCATTTTATGTAAATGTAGTCAGAAAGTCTGCAAGACAAATTGCTTGAAGTGGTTTGAAAGATAAAGAAAAATGACTCATTTCCAGAAGGAACTATTTCTGCTGGGCTGAGAGGAGTATTGTGCCTTAGACAGGTATGTGGTTGCCATTACAAAAGGTGAATTTTTCTTGTCATGTGGGTGGACTGGAGGTTGACTGGTTCAACATACTGTCCAATGGGCATGAGGTGAGGTATGCTTTCTAACACTGACAGAACTCTGCAGCTGGAGAATTTATCAGTTTGCCAGCAGTGTGGTTTTACACACAGCTTTTGCAATAAGTGCCACTGTGTTCTCAATAGAACATGAACCTATGAGGCACATGTTCCCAGGCAAGCAGACTGGAAGCCCAACTAATTTCGAGTAACAGTATATTTAATTAAATGGTCTTTCTGTCATGAAGCCAATGGGCAGCTGTGCAGAGGATGGAGTGACAGTGGCCAGCCCAGGCAGCCTTGTCCCAGCGAGCACCAGCAGAAATTTCCTGTACCCTTGGGCCATCAGCTCCTCCAATGCTGATTGTTCTCTGATGTTTGCCAACACTTCCCCACAAATGCAGCTATTTGTGCCCTTATGCAGCAGGCAGAAAGCAGTCACTCACTCTTTCCCTAACCTCCTGCAGACAATTTCATTGAGCTAATCTATGGCTGTTGACAATATCAGGTTACCCAGGCTCCAACCAAAAGCAGGTTGTGGCCCATTTCTGAGAGAGACCAGCTATCGTTCATCACAGCTTTCATTACAGCACTCCTGGCTTTTCCAAAGCCCTCCTCCCTTCTCCATCCATGGAGGACAGGAATGCAGTTTCACCCGGAAGCCACCTTTCCCTTTTAAGTGAGTGCATTTCTGAGAGGCTTTGGTATTTCCCATCTCTTGATACCACATTTTTTCCACTGAATCTGCAAGCAGCGCCAGGAGCTTCAGCGAGTGCCTAAATCCATCAGCACACCAGGAAGCACAGGAAGCCAAACACCGAAGCTTCCCATCCCGTGTGCAGCCGAGGGGTCAGAGCCGCTCTGCCCTGCGGCGCGACGACCCATTACCGTCCTCCCCTCGTTGCCAGGACAGGAAGGTGCTCTCAGCCCGGCTCCGGCGCCCCAAGCCCTCCCCGGGCCACCTCTTCCTCTGAAGGCATGCCGCAGATGCCGGGGCTGGTGGCCGGGTGGCACAAAGCCTGCATTGTCCGCGCTCGCTGCCCAGAGAGGCGATCTAATTGTCTTCCCCTGCTCACAGCAACAATTTGCTGGCAGCGAGGCTTGTGTCATTATATAACTGGAGATAGCCTGACTTGTAAACAGATCTCCAGAGCATGTCTGTCTTGCCTTATTTTGGATAAACAAGAAGTTCCAGGCTGGCTGATGATACCTTGGTGCTGTTTGCGAGGGCACAAAAAGCAGCGGCAGGGGTGAGCAAAGACTTTGTGGGGGCAGTTTCTCAGGGCATCACCTTCTTGTTCACACTGATAGGAAGTCAGTTGGGCAATTCTGGGAAGCCCGTGAGATTTTGTGGCTCCTTTAGTACTGTTTGATGTCTATGCTTGTATTTGTGAGTTTTCCTTTTCCCTCTTCCTATTTCCTAGCACTATTCTATGCTACCTGGGAAGGGCAAAAGCTGTCCTCCTCTATTCCCATCCATGAGGGAACAATTCCATGCATGACTTCTAAGCCAGTGAGGGACTGCCTATCACAGAGGATGATGTTCAGTCTGCTTCCTCCTCTCTTCTGGAGACAAACCCTGCCAGAGAAACCAAAACCTGTACCCTATTGGATAAACTTTCACCTAAGCAAAGGGAGAGATACCCAAAGATGTCTTCTGCCAGTGCTCATTAGAACTGAATCCAAAGTCACCACATTGTGATAGTCATCATTTACAGGTATGTATCGTATGGTATTTATTGGTATAGATTGATGTTTGGACAAGGTAATCTTATGGTCTTTCCAACCTTATTCTATGATCTGTGCTGCTCACACCCCTAGGGATGCTCTGCTTGTACGCTTGTAGAGAAGAAAGTACTCTCCCTTTTTGGCTTTCACCTTTTATGCTTGAGCACAGGATTATATCAACAGATGCAGATTCTAGTCTGGAAAGCTGCTTGCCACTGACTGCAGGGGACAACTTAATCTTCATGTTGACCTTACTGCTGGGTTTCCTAGATGGCTGTTTTGCTGCCTGAGCCTGAAGTAGCAAGGGAGAAAGGGGAGTCAAAAGGAGAAATGAAGTCCCTTGGCTGGAATTTCAATCCTCTCTGATTTTTCTTTACAAAGGCTGAACAGGCTTAGAGGAAAGGGCTGCTCAAGACTTGTCAGAGCCTTCCTGAAGGCAAGTGTCTGCAGTGCTACCCTTCCTGGAGGACTAAATCTGAATATCCCAGCATCAAAAACAGGCTATTTACCTCTTTAAGGACATCCCCTTGCTGCACCTTTCCTCTGCTCTCAATATCAAGCTTGCCTTTTTTTCCTCTCTCTCTCTTCTCTTTGCTTTTCCTGGATGTCTGAAGCTCTGGACACTGTGTCACTCCCACAGAAAGAGGGTAAAAAAATACTGTAAGGTTGCAGCTCTGTTGTAGCTTGGCAGCTGCTGGCTCTGCGAGTCCATCTTCCTCCACTACTCTCTCCCCCACTGTTAGATTCAATTTCATAAATAAATACCCCACGTATTGACGTCATTATAGGCCTTGAGAAATAATACTCCTGCCGCTTTCTTTGCTAAGCATGGGGAATGGAGGAGAGAGGGAGGAGGAACAGAAGCAACAACGTCTTGGAAGATGAAGACTTAATATTCTCCTAATCACCTCCCTCCCTTTGTGGCTATGACCCAGCTGTGAAGAATACAAAGATTACCATTATCAGTGTGCCCTTGTGGCTTGAGAAAGGATAATCGAGTATCAAAAATTCCTATTTCAGACTATTTTTTTCAGGAGAGAGGATGATGGGGACGTACTCTGGAAGGGTACCCTCAACGGTCCCTGTGCTCCTGTCATGAAATTAAGAAATTTGTATCCAAAATGAGCTCACAGTTCATGTTTCTGTGTCTTAAGACACCAGTGATGTTTCCAGCCATGTCTCATTGAAAATCTCTTTCCCTCACTTTATTACTGGAGGTCAAGAGGTTGCTTCTTAGACTGAGCTGTGACAAGTCAAAGCCAAGACCACTGACTTTGTGCCTTTTTTTTCTCAGTTCTAGCATTCCACTGTGGTACTCCTCAAAACTGTGAAATAATTTGCATTTTTGTTTGTTTATTTTGCTAGAAGAATGAAAGATTCCCTTCTCCGTGTCCTTACTCTTTGCCAAGCAAGAGCCTAGCAGGTTAGAAACCTCAGCTTTCAGATCAGTGTTGGCAGATACCAGGAGAAGGAAGGGAAAGAGGATCTTGCAGGGCTCTCTGCAAAAGCTGGCATGATTTTGATGAGCAAGGCATTCCTTGGGATGCATGCAGCTGAGAGTGCAGCAACAAAGGGGGGACAGAAAAGACACCAGATGTGAAAGTTTCTTATAGCTGATTTGCTTTATTGATAATGTATTACAAGTGGGAAGTACAATAGGTGCACAACCTGGGAAGTGTGCATCTTGTCTATTGCTGGGTGCAGACAAGTGACGTTGGTGATGAATCAGTGCCTTTCCCAGGCTTCCCCACAGACATATAAAACATCAGTGGACAATAGTATATATTAAAAACAAACAAACAAAAAAAAAAAAAAACATTAAAAAAAAAAAAAAAACATCAGCAAGAAGAACAAATACAGTTCTTCCCTTCATTTAGTGCAGCTAAGTACATCACAAAAAAAAAAAAAAAATATGAGCTTTTCAGAGCAGAAGGATGAAATGGATTGAGCTTTGAGGGAACAAGGAAGTAAAGGAATCTGTCTGTAGGTTTAGTCTATCCTGATGGCATTGGCACTACTCACTGAACACTAAGAAAACAGCCCAGCTGCTTTCTGGATTTATAAATGAAAACTGATCTCTGAAATAACACAGAAGAATGGAAAAAGAAAAAAAGTATATGATTAGCATCCCCCCCCCATCCCCTCCACTCACCACTCTCCTTCCCCCCACCAAATCTCTCCATACCCAGAATAAGTCAAGACAGTGATTTACACACCTTGCAAAGGCTGTGGCCACCTCCCTGCAGCAGGCTGCACACTCCTTCCTTTCCTCTGTCCCAATGGGAATCTCATGGGACAAATGCTCTCTGAGGTGATGCTTTGTGCAAAAGTCTCTTGCCCTTTGCCTTCTGCAGAGCTCAACAATAGCGCTGAGACCAAGCGAGTGATTTTTCATGGGGCACCAAACACCATGACAGATTTCTCTGCTGGTGTAGTTCTTTGCTTCTCTGTCCCCGTGTACATCAGAAGAGCACAGGAAGTCACTGGATCAGACAGACTGGAGGTTTTTGGGTGTCCAAACCCACTGTAAGCTGTGGAAATCCTCCCCAAGGTTTTCCAAGCTATGCCTTGGAATTCATCTATTCATCTATTAACCTGTGATGGAGATTTGCAGGCAACAGAAGTCACTTGAGGACCCACAGAAGAAGCAAAGGTTCCGTCTCAGCCAGTCTCACCCACTCAAGGGGCCCCATTGGACAAGAGCAGGCTCAGAGCTTCTTGGGGCTGCTTGGATCTACCCTTGCAAGCCAGTGTGCTCTTTGCTGAGCCAGAGGGCACAATTTAAACAATTTCCCAGATTTTCCAAAAAATGACCCCAGATTTATCACTCTGCTTTGGCCCTATGTCAGTTGAGATGGAAAAGAGCTACTTTCTGATGCACAGCTGCAGATGTACTCCCACTCTTTGCCAGTATCCCTGGTCTCACTAGCCAAACCTCAACCTGTTTCTGTGTATTTGTTCCAGCGACGCAAGCACCACAAGCACCAGAATGCAAAGTTGTCAAGGTTGTTGGTATCCCAGGAAGTAAGAGAGCTCAGTGCATTGCAAGTGCCAAAGTCCCTATATATTTTATTTTGCATAACAGAGGGGAATTTTTTGTGCTTTGCCCAAATCTGAGGACACTTCCAGCTGCATCGACACAGTGTTTGGAAATGGCATTGGCATCCTTATTGAGCTCCCAGCCCCAGGTGTTTGCTTGCTGTGGAAACAGGCGAGATGTGGCTGAAGTTTCACCTGTTTTTAAGTCATCTCTTAATGTCCCCCATGACCACGATTTATCGATTTATGCAGGAGGGAAAAAAAAAAAAAAAGAAAAAAAGCAGAAAGGTAACAAACATGCCAAACAAAACTTCCAGCAGCAACTACCAAAAGCTACAATTAAATCAGTCCTCAGCCCACAAAAGGACACCCATTCCTGCAAACAAAACTACAAAGGTCAATGAGAGGTGGTGGGGTGGGGACAGGAACAGACCCAAACTTTCTACCTGCAATGAGACAGCAGTGAACTGGAAAGGACTTGAGATTAAGGTCTCTTGTTTGGTGTGGCCTTCTCCCACCCAACTCCAACCCCAAGAATAAAAATAAACCAAAACTAGAAGAAAAAGTCAGGCTTTTGTATTCTGGATGGATATTTATTTGCTTAACAGGTTTTCTTTTTTTTTTTTTTTTTTTTTTTTTTTTCATTTTTCTTTTTTTTGGTACAAAGCATCCAGGAAAGCTTTTACTTCTCTTTTTAAAAAATAAAAACTAGGTTTCTTTTAAAAAAAGACACATGGAAAGGAAGAAAAAAGAAAAAAAAATCAATTATTTTCAATTGCTGTTTTTGTTCTGCCTTCCCACCCCACCCTCTTCCCTTTCCCCCCCTTTAATTTGGACCAATTTTCATTCTTTTCCATATATATTTAATAAAATAAATAAAGGATTTTCTTTGTTGTGTATTGCAGTGCCATTTCTTTTTTAAACAAAGGCTTCATGGCTCAACATTGCAAGGTAATAACAAACAAAATGATTATACATTAAAATCCTCCCTCTCTTGAGACTCCCCTAGCCCTCCCCTCAAAACCACGAAATAGAATACAATTCAAGTAGTCTTTTTTTTTGTTTGTTTTAAATGTATGGATATATAAGACAAAGCAAGTACAGAACTGGTTAACAGAGTGTCCCCGTTTTATTAGCAAGTGAGAGTATATCATAGGGAGATGTAATTGATTCCCCCCTTTTTATGGTTCCTAGACAGATAATATATATTATTTTAAAAACCAACCTATTTTACAGCCCTCTGCCCACCTCTCCAACCCATCTGCTCATTGAGTCCCGAGTCTCAAGTGAGAGACTTGCCTTTTCCCTGCCTGGGAACCTAACCCAGCCATCAGGCAGAAAGAGGCCACCACACTGATGGAGGTCACCAGGTTGACAAAGGCCACCGCGATGACAGAAGCCATCCATGTTGATGGAGACCATCCACGTTGATGGTGGCTGTCCATGCTGATGGAGGTCATCCATCATCCTGACTGAGGCCATCACAGCGATGGAGGAAAGCATGTTGATGGAAGCCACTATGTTGACGGAGACCGTCCATCATGCTGACCACGGCCATCACATTGGTTGAGGCCACCATGCTGATGAAGGTCACCATGCTGACTGAGGCCATCGCATTGGTGGAGGCCACTACGCCGGGGGGGGACGCTTGCCCCATGTGGGGAGGGTCCCCATCATTCCCAAGGGCCATCTTCCACAGCCTTGGGCATGGGGCAAGGTGAGGAGGGCAGGGGGTTCTGCAAGAAGAACGCAAGGGGCAAGAGAAGGAAAAGGAGACAGAGGGACACGGGGCTGGCATTTCCGCACAGCAAGCAAGCCGTCAGGGTTGAGAGGATGGAGAAGCTGATCTACACCAGGATCCACACAGAAGCAGGGCCTGGAGTTGTAACCGGCAATACCTTCACCATTCAGAATAGTTTGTATCTAGAACAGTTCCCTTTTAGTCTAAATCGTTGTTTTTTTCTTAAAAAAAAAAAAAAAGAAAAAAAAAAAGAACGCGTGTAGATGTATTTCTGTGTGTGCGTGCATCTGTGTACATGAGTGACAGCCAACTAGCTCATATGGTCATGACCAAGCTATATTTCAGAAGAGAAAAGAAACACATTTATCACACTTTTCCTAAAACGAAAAGCTAAAATTTCAAGTTCAGTATTCGCTATCTTGTTCTTCCCTCCCCACCCTCCCTTGCTATTTCTGGGTTTTTTCCCTTCCAACTTACTTTAGCACCATAACACATTTTAAACATTACAATCCCTCTTCAGATACTACACAAAATGTCCCATAAAAATAGTGCTTTTTTGCCAAAAAAGTTATATAATATATTATATATATAAATCAACTAAATCCGTGGCAAATGTGCAATGCAGACGCCTCCTCCATTTAAAGTGAGCATCAGCTCACTTTTTTTTTTTTTTTCCCCTTTCCTTTTTCTTCTCTCTCTTTCTCTCTCTCCTCTTCCTCTCTTTCTCCCGTCAGCGATGGTTTCAAAAAGGTGCAAGTCGATTTGGAATCTTGTAATTAAGCACACACACAAAAAATGCAGATGGGACTCCTCGGAACTTCGTCTCAGTTACATTTTCTTTTTAAAGGTGCAAAAAAAAGTTATAAAAATAAGAAAAGTTACCAACAAAAAAAGAAAGAAAAAAAAAAAAATTGGATGGGAATGAGGCAAAAAAGTTACATCCCTCAACATCTCTCCCCATTTGTTTTTGCTTTTCACTTTATTGTCAAGAAAGACATGGAATGGACTTTTCTTCTTGAGAAAAATAAAATAAAATTTAAAAGAAAAGTTAACTTCATATCCTTTTTCCCTCTTGCTCGTTCTTTTGTCTTCTAGTGTTGGCACTGGGGATGTCACACAGCGCCCGGCAGCAAAAAGTTCAAGTGCCCAACTGTCCCTTCGTAAGTACAAGGCTTGAAAAATACTGGGTGCGCGAGGGAAACGAAACAGGCCTGGGAAACGAAACAACCCTCCCCCCCACCCCAAAAGGAGGACGCTGCACACGGCCGCTGCCATCCCCTCCTTGCTTGTGTCAGTTGTTTGGTTGGGGCCGGAGCGGCGTGATGGTTCCTGCCGCCCCGCTCCTCGGCTTGGGGACGGAGGGGCTCAGGGGGGGCCGAGTCTCGCCAGTCTCTCCCCGGGAGATCGCAAATCCAGCCGGCCGGTCACAGTTCATTCCTGGGGGCCGGTCGCTTCAGGGGATGCCCGCGGTGCCGGAGGCCGCTGGCTGGGCAAGGAGATGAGGGGACGATGCATCGCCCTGGCTTCCTCAGCTGCTTGCAGCCCCTCTGCCTGCCACCGGTACCGGCGGGCACGCAGGATGCCAGGCACCTCCCGCTGCAGCCGCTGCGAGCTCTTCTTCTGCCACACGTTGTACTTGGAGTACTTGGCGTGAGATGGCTTCTGGAAGCTCTCCTGGGGAAGGGAGAACAACGCAGTGTCAACACAAGGTGGGTTACCTTCCCTGGGGTAACCTCTACCCATGGTCGCCCGTGTTACAGGTTCTATTGGGTCCCCAGCACAAGGAGGATGTGGACAGAGAATTATTAGCAAGCTGGAACACCTCTCCCATGAGGAAAGGTGGGGAGAGTTGGGGTTGTTGAGCCTGGAAAAGGTCCCAGGGAGACCTTGCTGCAGCTGGAGAGAAACTTTTTATCAGGACCTGTCGGGATATGCCAAGGGGCAATGATCTTAAGCTGAAGGAAACTGCATATAAGGAGGAAGTTTTCCACAACAAGGTGGCAGGACGCTGGGAAAGGCTGTCCAGAAGAGCTGTGGGTGCCCACTCTCTGAAGGCATTCGAGACCAGACTGGATGGGCCTTTGGGCAATCTGATCTAAGAGTGGGATGCGTCCCTGCCCATGGCAGGGATGGACTAGATAATCAATAGGGGGCTCTTCCAACGCAAACCGTTCTATGAGTCAATGGTTAGAAGTTTGTTTTCTGCAATTTCTTTGACTCCTCAACAGCTATAAACACTTCAAGGCTCTGCATGCTGCCTTGGCTGCAGAAGCAGCAGATCGTAGAGCCAGCAGCAGTCCTCCCCTACTGATGGCCTCCCTTTTCTCCTCTTTCTTGCTTCAGGGAGCTAGCAGCCCGAGTGCAGCCTTACCTTGTTGAGGGCTGGGAGGCCCGCAAGGGAGGTGGCGGAGAGGTCACGCTCTGACTTGACGGACTTGGCACAGTAGGTTTCCAGCAGAGCCAGGTCGCAGCTCCGAAAGCAGCACTCCTCCACGATACCACGGTTGATCCTCCTGTTATTTCGTCCCACTGGTCTACCTGTAGGGGTAAAGGCCTGAGCGTTAGCCATCAGTGTAGACCATAGCTTCGTCACCTTTCACCTTGACGGCATCTCTCCTGCAGTGACCACAGACTGCAGGGTCCCAAGCTGGCACCTCCACAGCCTCATGATCACTGTATTTCAAAACCAGCAGCACTTCTCCCAGAACACTCATCTTCTTTGACATATGCCCACAAAAAGCCTGAGTTTCCCATGATGGCCTTCCTAGACAAACACTCTCAATACTGACAGGGCTCCCGGTGTGCGCACAACACTAATTGAAGGCACTTTCTATTGCTGTAATTTATTCCCTTCCTATTGCTCCTTAGCAAGCCCAGCGCGGACAGCAGTCCGGATGCAGACGCCGCACCGATTACCACAAATGTCTGCGATGTTGATCCTGGCAAGAGAGTTTTATTAGAAAGAAGCAGCGCGGCACTGAGGCTGCCAACCTCCCTCTGCCGTGTTGACGCTTGGGCAGGTGAAGCGAACCAACACGGCTAAATTTTACCAGATGGGACAGCTCGTAGACAGCTGCAGAAAGAATACAGGCCCGTGACGGCATGCCAAGAATAGCTATTAAACTTAATCTTTTAATAAGGGTTCCTCTCCCGTTTCTTCCTGCAGAAGGATGCAAAAACCAGTGTCCAGTACAGCAACAATGAAGCACATCTCATGTCAGTATTTAAGTACAGAGAAAACACTCCAGAAGGATGGCTCAGATCAGCTTCATTTTGTTCCTTCCCCTCTTGAAAGAAAATCAATGGGTAAATTTGGATTTTGGGGGCAAAACAAATATTCTTGGGAAAAGCGACTTCCAAAATGTATAATGGTCCCAGACTAAATGGTTTTCTCTGGGCTTTCATACACAGGGCCAAGGCAAGGGGCTGAAATGGAGGGGACCAGTGCCTACACTGGAGTAGAGGCCAGGATCAGCGGGGCTGCAAAAGAGACCCAGTACCACAGCCCAGCTGAGGGAATGCTGCTTTGGCCCTGTGTACAACCCATGATCCCACCATGTGCTCCAGATGAAGGCACTCAAGATTTTAAGGCTTTGGCTTGCAAGGTGTTGACTGATTTCCTCATGGGGAACTCCATCTGGATGGCCACCCAAAGTGCCCCAGGACAAGATGCAAAGCCACAACATTTTCTGCATGTGCAATGCAGCCTGGTGCATGCAATGCAGCCCCGTGTCTGCGATGCAGGCACACATGTACAGTGCAGCCTTATGTGTATAACACCAGCATGCAAAACACACCGTGACCTTCCTTCAACACATTTTGCAAAAGCAAAGCCCCGGGCAGCACAGCACCTGCTATCTGTCAAACTCAGCCCTCACTCCATTTGCAGTGAGCCCTCTGCTCTGCTCTGGAGCATCACCACTGTGCACTGAGGTCACAAGAGCAAACACAGCATCGGGTGCATTGCGATGAAACAACTGACTCATACCGTGCAGCCCACCCTTGGCAGTCGTTTAAATGCTTGATTTTCCACATTCTTCCCCATTCCACTTCTTATTTTGGCAATTACCTCTCCTTTTTCCATTTTTTTTTTTAAGTCTTTATTTTTACTTCTCTGGAAAACTTTCAGATGCAACTTTTAGCCAGCTACATAGCAAAGTGAAAAGGATGGTTCCATCTCAGCAAAGGCTTGGTGATAGGAGCACTGCTGGGAGCTTGTTCTTCTATCCTTAAAATGCTCATTGCCAGCAAGCATACTGGGTTGGGCCCTCCCTTGCAATGCAGTTGGGTGAGCTGAGTGTCCATTGCCATACAAGTGATTCCAAGGCAGACAATCTGGGTGGCAATGGCTAGCAGAGAGGGGGGAAGGTGAGACAACCTGAGGTCATGTGCATGTATTCTTCACATATGTACGCCCACAGTAGATATCACTGCAGGGGAGCTGGACTAGATGACTCTTAAGGGTCCCTTCAAACTCAAACAATTCTATGATTCTATATATATGCTGTATGTGTGTGATAGATATGCATCAAAACAGATGCAACCACCCGACACCAAGGGCACTGTTTGGGTGAACCAGCCCTGGGCTATCAGCACCCCTTGTTTTGCCCACCGTGTGCATGTCGCTTGCCCTCCAGCATTGCCTTTGCTCTGTTGCATAAAGTCCCTACATGCCATTCCCCTTGCTGGCACTGCTGCCAGCATCCCTGCAAGGGCCTGGGGGGGCACATCTCCCATTACATAATAGTCCATACCCATCGAGCCAAATGCCAACCCCATCCTCTATGGGAACACTGCTGCAGAGGAAAAAAACAGGCAAACATAACAAACAGGGATTTAGCATCAGAAAGCACCTGGAGATAATAACCCAGGGGAAAAGATGCCAGGACATTTCTAGTTAACAGTGATATTGCTGCTGACCTGGATTGGGGAAAGGGTTTTGTTCCGTAGCACAATTTACGCACAGACTAAAGGTTGAATTCCTTGGCTTTCATCCACCAGCAGCATCTCACTTGAACATCACTGCCAAAGCCAGAACATGGTAAAGCAGGGGGTGAAGCATTTCTCCTCCTCCGCTCCCCATCCACTTCCCATTTCTGCAATTACTGCCTTCCCCTAAGGCATCATGCTTCCTCCTGGCCTTCCCAGGGGGCTTAGGAAGCAGATGTGTTCCTTGAAAAACTGTGCTCCACCAAAAACCTCTGCCTGCTGGTGCCCTTTGGCATCACGCTGTCCTGATGGATGCACCGAGCATCCTGGTGGGAACTGGTGAGCGCTCCAATAGTGGTGGTCAAGCATCCTGACGGGACTTGCTGAGCATCCCAGCAGTGCTCCTGGGACACCCCAGGGGTGGGGGCACCCAGAGGGATGGGAGGGTCCCTTCCCTGGATTGCGGCACCGAGGCATGTCCTCACCTTCGGCTCCCCTCTCCTCCGGTCCGTCAGGCGGCAAGCCGAGTGGAAGGGGACTTTGGGTGCAAACAGTCCCCACACCCCCGGCGCAGGAATGTCGGGAGCAACAAGGGGGCCTTTGTGCAGTGCCGTCCCCGTCCCAGTGCCCCCAGCCTGTCCCTCCCCTAGCCCCGGCACTGCGCTTTCCCCCCTGCTTTTTCCTAGTATTATTCGCAGGAGCGGCGGCACGCAAGAATGTGCCCCGTCAGCACAAGCGGCCGCAAAGAGCTAAATTCTTATCAGCTGTTGGAAAGGAGGAAACAGGAGCTGTTGTTTACAGAGAAGTCGGACGCCTCTCCCCCCGCAGCCCCTTCTCCCTTCCCTGCCGATGGTGCATGACAACAAATTTGCCGCTGGGACTTCCTCTTGCCCTTTTTTTTTTTTTTTTCCTATTTCTTTTTTTCCATGCTCAGCATCCATCCCCACGGCCGTGCCATAGGACGGCATCACCTTGCCGGCACCTGCAAGCCTTGAGTCATCCATGGAGATTGCTGCAGAAAAGGGAGAGCAACGCAGTGCCTGCAGCTGGGGAGTTCAGCCTCCTTGGAGCTGTTCTTTTGCAGCCCCAGTGCTTGGTGGCATCACTGCTGCGGGTCTCAGGTGCAACCGGGGATGTGGCAAGGGCTTGCCATGGGACCAGCAGCACTCATCCCCAAGGGTGTGCCATGCAAATTGTTGTCTCTTTCACAAACAAGTCATGTAAAACAGCTGCCTCAAGACTTAAGGAGGCCTAAGTAGTAAAAGCCCTACAGAGGGATGCTAGCAGTGCTGAAACACCCCCATTATAGGATTTTGTAGGCAGCTTCAACATCCCGAGCCCCAAGCATCAGCTCTCATGGTATTTCCAAGGGAACCTGGTAGCTGGGTTCATGCTCTGTGCCAATGGACGGACAGGCATCTCCATCATCAGGGCGCACCCTCCTCAGTCTGCACTGTGTATTTCCCCACCCTGGAACACCAGGGGTGTGAAACACTGCAGACACACTGCATCCAGATGCAAACTGCTGCATCTTGGAATAGGGAAGCTACACCTTAGCTTAAATTACTGCAGCAGCAGAAAACCAGTGGCAGATTTTCATGCCATTTCTATTTTTTCTCAGGATTACCAGGCAGCCCATTCCAGCATGCAGAGCCACCTGTACTTGTGAGACAAGGCCACCAAAGTCATCTACCTCAGGTATGAAACACACTGCTGGCACAGGTTTGTCCTCAGGTTGCAGTTATCATGCCAGGAGCAGATGGACAATTGGTTAGGACAATCCCAGCCTCAGTGTTAAAGACATAAACCAGGACTGTGAAACATAAACATGCCCTACAGAATCATAGGATTGTAGGGGTTGGAAGGGACCCCCAGAGATAAGAGTCTGTGCAGTGGAAATAACATTTGCCACAAGAAGTCAAGAGTACAGATTAATATGGGCAGAAGAACTAATGCCTTCACTGGAACAACTGATGGAGCTAGAGGGAAGAAAGAGGGGAACTGGGGATGACCAAGACCTTCATTGAATAGAACCAGTGACAAATGTACATTCACTGCAACCTCAAGAGGTGCTGAAGAGATGGAAATATGGGACTGATAGGTTTTCCTTCATTCCTCAGTGGTTGAACTCTCCAGAAACATACAACAAGAAGGAAGGAGACAGGTGAAAAAGGAAGAGCAAGAATCCCCTTGTGAGCACCAGACTGGTCACTTGGCACAAAGCTACATTTCTGCCTTCAAAAGTGTTTTTATTTTGGACTGAGAGGATGGGTTATTCGAGGTGAAAGGAGGTCAGTTTGCCTGTAAAACAAAAGCCCCATTCCCTTTCATCCCCAGAGAGGGGGAGGAAAGAAGAGAAGCGAGCGGAGGGAGGTGGATGCTCCTCTATAGAGAGAGAAAGAGGTGTGAGACTGGGATGGGTGCTTGCCACAGATATGGAAGGCAAAACCCAGTCCCCTCACCCCAGTGTGGCTCAGTGGTAGGAGAAAAGGGGGAGATGAGAAGAGAAGGGCAGTTATGGTGGAAACCCCTAGTTGGGCTCAGAGAGAAAGGAACAGTGCTCCCAAAAACATTACACCACCAGAACAAAGCCATCACCCACAGGGCCTGGCTAGAAGAAAAGCCACCTGCCATGCCACCACACTTGTGAAGTAACTCAGGCTGAAGCCTGATGGTAGCTGAATCATGCAGCCTGACTCCTACACCCTGTGCACCCTCCACAGTCTATGGATGGAGTAACTCTCAGCCAACTGCAGCCCAGCCTGGCTGGGTATAGGGTTGTAGTGGAAATGCAATGTCGTGCCTTGAACCAGTGATTGTGCACCTGGTGGGAAGGCAGGGCTAATCCAGGGAGCTCAGGTGCACGCAATGCACCCTAATCCCAGACCTCATTTAAGGACTGGAGTGGAGGAAGGGGATCTTGCTGAAGATCCTTGTCTGCCTGAGGCCCTATGAAGGTAAGCAGATTCTTTCTTTTATTTCAGTGCCTATGGTTGTTACATTTGAGCAAGTTCTCGCTTGCTGTAGCCTGGGACCTTGCTATTCTGCTGTTATTGCTGCACATTGCATTGCAAGGGTCTTCTCCAAAGCTTGCAGCAGCTCACTCCCTGTAAATGCTAGATTGGGAATAGAGGGAGGATGGCTCTTGGGACTGCTATATTAAAAAAAAAAAAAAAAAAAAAAAAAAAAAAAAAAAAAAAAAAAAAAAACAGCTCAATACATTACTCAAGAGTGTATCACTGTAATGTAAGTTTCTCCAAAGCAGAGGCAAGGATGTTAGGTGCAGCTGCACTACCTGCATTGTTTTCCCTACTGCTATGCCTTGCATACTTCCTGTAGTATATTATAGAGTTCAGTCAGCAGTGGGTTGCAGGACACAGGTTCTTGCCTCTCCTGTGCAAGGAGAATACTATACCACCAGAAGGCATCACACCTAAAGCACTCTCATCTGCTCATGTATTACCAAACATCCATCACCTTACTCCTCCTCATCTACTAGTTGAGCTCTTGTGTTTTTGCACGTATGGTCCAAATCTCAAAAACACTCAAGGAAAACATGTTCCATACAACGCCTCTGCAGATCCCTGAACTCTGTGGACAACAGCGACACTGTGGTTTTTGGCACTGGCTATGCTGTTTAGAAGGTCAGACATTGGTGTCATTAGCAAGTAGCCAGGAGGCCACCTGGGAGGGCTCAGAACCTGTGGTTATATCCAAGCAGAGCCCATCTGGGTTTAAAAACAAGCTGGAATCCCAGCTCAGCAGAAATCCTCATTATTTTGAAGACTTATCCACATCAACAGCAAATCAACTACTTATCAGCACTGCCCAGCCACATCTGAGCATAGAACATAGGACCCAGCTATCCCATTGGACCATCCCTCGGCTCATCACTCATCTTGCTCCTCTTCTCACCATGCACAACACCGCCTTAAAAAGCACTGGGGTGGAGAATCCGTCCTTCCCATCCCAACCCAGCTCCATCTGCATCATCTTGGCATAGCACGAGGTGGGCACTGAGCATCATGTAAGCAAGTAGAACTTACTGAAGTAGAAGCCCCTGTCCCCGCAGACGAACTGCAGCGTGTCCACCAGCTCCCCACCACAGAGGGTCTCTGCCGTGCCATACGCCGCAGCTGAATCCAATGCATAGGCCAGGAAGGCCAGCAGTAGCAGCAGCATCTGCCTGGCTGCACACATCCTCTGCACCTGGGGAAAGAAGCAGGGTGTTAGATGGAAGACTGGCATGTCCTACCTGAGCGTGTGCTTCCCCAAAGCCAAAATGAATGAATTTTCTGCCTGTTTTTTGGAGAAAGCTGGCTTTTACTGGGAGAATAGTAGCCTTCTCCCTGTGCACCCAGAAGACACTGCTCAGGCAATCAAGGGGCTGATTGCACAAGCTATGTTTGCTGGTGAGGACTAGAACCAGAAAGACACACCATAGAAGCAGAGTGGTTCATGGGGGTATCAGCATGACGATGCCACCACAGCACTGCATGATGCAATATCCACATTCCGTCCCTCAGTGATGAGCATCACTGCACTAATGCAGCCAAATAACCATGGTGGCCAAGAGGACAGCAAAAAATTAAGAGGGGAATTGTGTCAAAACTGCATTCGCCCATACTGGCTGCTAAAACTCAAGCAGAGCATCCCCTCTCGCTGCTGATGCTCAGCCAAGGCACTGGGTTTCACCTCCCATTTTCATCACCATAGCATCGGAGCAACTTGAGAATAATATCAGTTAATGAATATTACCTCACCCCCACGGGATGCTCAGAGATGGAGCTGAAGCCCGGGATAGATTAAATGACTCACCCAAGGTCACAGGGGAAGTCTGCAGCACAGCCAGGAAATTAGCCCACCTCTCCCAGGGCCCTGCTGTGGCCCCACCAGCAATAAAGCCACCCTTGCCACCAACCATTATGTGCACAGAGCTCCAGTAGTGTCAGAAAGAAGCCATGGTCCCAAGCCATAAGCTCTCCAAAATAGTGGAGTTGGTCATCACAGCACCACCTGCGCTGCTTTAGTGGCAGCATCAGCAACGCAATCCCCTCCCAAAAAGCCTGTGATTATCCCATGCTGTTTTTGTTCTTTTTTTCTTTCTCTTTTTTTTCCCCCTTGATTTTCACTTGCACGCGATGCCCAAGTGGGATATCAGGATGCCTAAACTGCTTTCTGCGCCCCAGCAAGTCACAGTGAGCATGTGCCTCCAGCACCTCATCTCCTTCCCTACTCCATCAATGCCCCTGCTATGGTGAGGATCCATTGGGGCGCATCATCTGCAACAGGACTGCTTTGGCCTCAACACTCCCAAGCTCAGTCTTTTGTCAGCAGGGTGATATCTGATGCCAGGGAGACCTGATATGTTCTGCTCCTTTGCAAAACAACAACTACTGCAAAACTTGTGCTGCAGGTGCAAGCCTTGCCTGCCTCCAGCTGTTACTGGTTGCCCAAGCCTTAAATACCAACCAAGAAGTCTCCCTCTTGCTATCTATGTGGGAAGAAGCCATGAGGATAGCAATGGTCCCACTGCTGACACCACACTGAAGGAGACCTGGCATAAGCCCTTCCTTCTCAATTCAACTCTTGGGTACTCAGTGCTGTGCCTCCACAGCCCCCTTGGGGCAGGAGTATGAAGCCCTCTGAGCCTTGCATGTGCATACATTTTCCATGGCTGAGGCTTAAGCTCTGTCCAGCATCAGGAGTCAAAGCCATTTGAGCCTTCATATTTACTGCAAAGGCTCTCTCGTGCAATGGGTAACAGAGATGATGTGATGTTGGTGTTGGTCCCCACAACACTAGAAGAGATGCTACATCCATCCAAGTTTCATTATTGCAAAATGCAGTTGAATCAGTTGTATTGACTGCCATCCCTCAGTAAGTACACAGAGGGAGGTTGTGCATTGCCGCATACAGTTTCAACCAGGATAGCAAACAAGGAGGCTCCTGCTTCTCCCTTTGTCCACAGTGGCAAATATGGGACCAGGAGACTGCCATGGGCATGCAGTGATGCGCCCACGCTGCACAGTGCTCTTTGTGTTTGGGGAAACCTGAGCATCTCTCTGCAGCCCTGCGACAGACAGGTCACACTGGTAGTGGCACAGCTATGGAGAGGGTCCCCTTGGAGCAGCACCAGTGTGATGAGAGTGAGCCTGAAGCAGGTCTGCAGCAGAGCTGCCCTCTGGCCTGAGGCGGCCAGAAGGATTTGCTGAGGATTTGCTGCACGATCAGCTGGAGAGATGATTGTGGTCTAGCTGCTGGGGAGTCAGAAGCCAAGAGGCCACAGCATGCTCAAAAGGCCCAGTTGCCAAATCTCAGAGGAAGGCTCAGGCGTTTGTCACATTCAGGCTTGTGCTGAGCCAACCTAACCATGGTGCCTCCCTCTTGGGCAACATCTCCCAAAAAATGGATACTGAACCTCCTGTCTGACCTAATTCCTTCTTCAGTCTGGCCTTCATTACAATTTAATATGAACGGAACAACGTAGGAGGGAACTGACAGATGGCCCAGTCTGCAAAATTTGGATTTGGACAGCAAAAATAAAAAATAAAAGATCTTGCTCTTTGTGGAGCATCTAAAATGGCAAAAAACTTTTCAGTTCAAACCCAACGGTGCCTGCAGGGAGGGGGAAAAAGCAACTTTTTGCATCACATCCTCCACTGCCCTTCCAAAAAAGCGGACAGATTGGACATCTTTCTACTGTAGAAGATGCCCAATGCTTGTGCAAGAAGCAATGCCTGCAGTCACAGCATCTCTATCCCAGCATGCAGCTGGAGACATGGCATCCCTTGCATACTGAAATGTGTGCACGAGGCCATAAGGTTTTGCCTACAGATATGAGATGGAGCATGTTGCTGCTGAGAGTGGAGAGGGGATGTGATGCAGTGTGCAGACGTCCCTCAGGGAGCAGGGCACTGACCTGGATTGGGGCACAGCTCTCTGAGGGCAGGAAGTGGGGGCACACCTACTATCACCACGTCACACCAGGGCCCCCAGCTCTGCCCGTGGGCATGGTGATGCACTCAAGAGCCAAAAAGCAAAGGCCAGCACAGAGAGAAAGGTGCCTTGGCAGCCAGAAAGCAGCTGGGGTGGAGGAGCTGCCCATGGTACCCAAGGGAGAGGAGCCTGTGTGCTGTGCCTCGTTCTGGAGCATCCCACATCCCTCTTGCTGCCTCAACCACGTTGCACCTGGTGTTTCCCAAATCCTTATCCTGGAGGCTCCAGCCTGGAATAGCTTCTTTCTAAAAAAGAAAGGGTATAAACCCAGCTCGAAGGAGGCAAAACTTTTGACCGCTGAGGCAAATAAAACTCACCCAAGCTGAAGGGTGCTCAGCTCTCATCACTGGGGTTGAAAAAATAAAAAAAACCCACACAACTCACCATTCTTGGCACCTGGCTCGTATGACACTTATATGGCTGAGGTTGGCAATGCCGCCTCTATTTTTAGCCCTTGCTTTTTTGTCTTCACGACTTGTCCCCATCAGCAGCCCCGTGCCAGGGGTCACCTTTCCATGCCTGCGCCCCATAGCCAGCACTGCCAGAGCTGCGGAAAAACCAGGCTCCGAAAGGTGAATGGGGTATTCAGTACCATTTACTCACCCCACTGGGGAGTATTGCACAAATTTTGGTAGGCGGCCCAGAAACGTTTGATTTATGGCATGAAAAAAAGGAAATGCAATCTTGCTTAACTCTTCTATAGACAGCTGGCAGGACCCAGGGAAGGGATTTAAGTCCATTTTAGTAGCCTCACTTAACTTCTTTCTTTATTGTTCCTCTCTCCTTTCTGCCTCCACGTCAAAAACCTGGAGCGTATCAGGGAAAGTTAACAGCAAGTTAAGCTGTTAAATCAGAAATTGTGGTGACTGGAGTTTACTGGCAACTGATATTCCCACAACACGTTGAACTTGCTTTATGTCTTGGCACAGGCAGCTTAACCCTTTCGGAGTCACAATGTGGCCCCCACATGGATTTCTTCCCCCATCCCTCCCGATCCCCTCATTCTCCATCTCCCTGCCCTGACAGCCCCAGCAGCCTCAAAAAGCAGAGCCAAGCCGGAGAGGAGCGGGAGGTCAGCCCCAGGACATGGGCGGGATAGGGTGGGCCACTTCCAGCGCTCGTATGCGATTCTGGATCCGCACCAGCGCCTCGGTCCCTCTAAAAATAAGACCTCACCTGCTGCGTTTGCTTTATTTAAAACAAGAAAAGATGTACAGAAGTGCTTTTCCTTGCAAGGCCAGCTCCAAAGCCTATAGAAATCAATGGAAAGCCACGCACCGACACCTCCGAGCCTCTCGGTCAAAGCGGCAGCCCCGCGGGCAGGCTGCAAAAAGGATCACCTGTCAGAAAGGGCCCCGGGACACACACACAGCCGCCTTCGGGCTCTCCAATTTCATGCGGCGGTGGGAGGGACCCACGGTGTCAAATCTTTTATCCCTTAATGAATTTTCACAGGAGCCGGGATAGCCCCTTTGAAAGGCTGAGTGAACTTGTGTGGGTGTCGACACCGCCAAGCGAGATTTACAGCTCTGACCCATTCACCCCCACCGAAATTGTCAAGTTGGGTCCAAAACAGTTCAGCAGAGCTCAAATCAGAAGTGTCACTCAGTTTTATTCCTCCAGATGTCCTTAGCACAAAGTCACCCCTACAAAACCCATGACCCAGGCTCCTCAGCTCTGCTGTAAATCACGCCAGGAGGAGGAGGAACCAACCCAACACGCTGAGCCCTGCGGAGCGAAAGAAGAAACCGCACACGCACACCCGCACACGCAACCTGACAACAAATAAAAACAAAGAAAGCCAGGCCTGGGCCTCCCAAGCTCAGCCCAGTATCAGGGAGAGACTGCGGGTTTCCCATGGGAGGGTGGAAGGCAGCGCTGCTCTCCAGGTGCCAGCCCCGACCTGACTGTCACAGCACACCGTGTCCACATCTGCTGCTACGGTTGTGCGGAATCTCTGTTTCCTCATGTGCCCCAATTCCCCGCTGCTCAGCGGAGTGCTAAAACCCTTCCAAGTTGCTCTTTTAAAACAATTACTGTAGGGAAAAGCAATTGGGAGGAAAGAAAAAAAAAATAATAATAAAAAAATCACACAAAGTCGAGGGCTCCATGCCAACCATTAACTCTCACTCCATTTTGGCTTCGCTCTCTTGTTTTTCCTCTCCGTATTTTTATCCCTCCGAGACCGAACGCGCCGCGCTGTTTTTCGGAAGAGTTTAACGATCCCCCCCGCTCTCGGAGCCGCGGAACGGCCCGTCCCTTCCCCGCGCCGCGCCGCCCCGTCTCCCCGCTTCCAAAATCGCGCCGCGCAGCGCCGGGGGGCCGCGCAGCGCCGCGACCTCGCATAGCCCCGGCCCCGCGGCCAGCCCGGCCCACGCACGATCGCGGCTGCCCGCACACGCGCGCTGCTGCCGGCCGCCCCCCA